AGTGTCGCTGTGACCTTGGAAGCTCCGTACCCAGGAGGAGGCTGAATGGGGAACCCCGAGTTCTTCATCTCCTGTTGCCGTCACGGGTGGGGACCGAGGGCCTCTCCCTCTGGGTCCCGTCCCTCCCACCCAGCCAGGGCCACATCTGCAGCCCTGGACGTGGTCCCTGCACCGCACCGTGGAGGCCCTGGGCCACCTTCTCAGGGAGCATTTCCAGAAAGAAGGCCCTCGTCCTCAGGGGCCTGTGGGGGAGGGGCACAGCCCGTCCAGCGTGGGCACGGCGAGGGCTCCAGGCACCTATCACAGCTCACCTCTAACGCCAATGCTTCTCCCACCCTGTGTCACAGGCCTTTGGGACACTGCACCCCCATGTCCCCACCCCTGGCCCTGGGGCCCCCCGGCCCTAAGCCTGTGAGAGAAGGGGCTCTTCCAGCAGCGGTCTGCCCACCTCTCTGCCTCCATCAGGCCTCTCTGTGACGAGCCCAGATGGGCCAGCTCTAGATAGCCGTGCAGACTCAGGGTGTGCTGGGCCCGGAGCCCCGCTGACCGGGGAGCTCGGCTGCAGCCCGCCTGCCCACCCTGTGTAATGCCCACGCCCCGACAGCTGCAGGAGGGAGCGTCTCGGAGAGGATCATCCCGTGCCTGCTCCCCCGCCAGGCTGATCCCCTTCTCGCCTGTGCCGGAAGCCATGGTTCCCGGCCGGACCCTGGGCGTGCAGCCACGGGCAGGGCCAGCAAATTAAAATGCAGGTCGCCCAGTTAATTAGAATTTCAAATATTCAACAAGTCCATTTTTATTCCTGTCGTATATCTATCCACCCTCGTTTCCCGAGGGGTCCCCACTGCCGGCCTCACTCCACCCCGGGCCAGGAGCAGCCTCCTCACTGACCTGGGGCCTGGTCAGCAATTCTCACAAGCCAGTGAAAGGAGGGAATGGTGTTTAAGAAGGATCACGTGGGCCTCAGACATTGTAGCTTTCAAACCTCCGCGGTACCTTGGCTGAGGGTCCCTGACGTCTAGTCTGGCACTTCTGCCCCTCCCCACTCCGGGCCCAGTTGGCCGATTCCAGTGAGAACGACGCCCCCTGCAGCCCACTCCCGGGACCGGCCGTCCCCGACTGTGGGTCTGGTTTTCCAACACCCGGATGTGAAGGATCTGACTTCTAGGTTCCCAGGACGTTGGTCCCAGTCTTCCAGAGCTGTCATGCCCACCCCGAACGGGACAGCAGTTCCCCTGCAATGCTTGTCTCGCGTGGGCCTTCCCGAGGCAACTTAGCTCTCATCCACAAAACTATTCAGGTTCATTAGGTTTCATGACATTTAACTAAATCCTTTTCTTAAAACGACAAGTACGATTGGAAGCTATGGCTACGGATACAAAGTAGGTGACTGTGAGATGTGTTCCCTTACCCGGAGGGAGCAGGGGGCAGGCGCTTCTCAAGGGCACCTGGGTGGGTCCCAGGTTTTTTCGAGGACAGCAGAGCCAGGCACTGGCCCGGACACCCAGCGACAGCTGTGTGAGCGGCCTGAGGACTCGGCTGTCACACTGACTGGGTGAACCCGGGCGCAGCACTGACCCGACCCATGAGTTCAATCCATCAGTGCTCTCACGCAGCCCTCCCACCTGCTGCCAGGAGCTGTTTCAGACCTGGGACACTCGCAGACTTTCCAGGGGCCACGGGCTCGGGAAGGAAGTGCACAGATGACATAGCCACGTAGAAGGGCAGTGTCACCTGCTAGGACTGAGGACGTGAGATGGAACTGGGAGGTGGCGAAGTCTCCAGAGGAAGTGAAGTTGCTGGGCTCAGGGAGGGGCAGCAAGCGAGGCCCCCCAGCACTGAAGCGGCGGGCACATCCGGGCTGGCCAGAGGGGACACGGCCTCCAGCCGTGGGAAGCGTCAGGCAGGAGGAACACTCAGGAGGGGAGCCTGTGTCCAGGAGGACCTGTGGCTTCAGGACTTAATGAACAAGGGTCTGGCCTGCTTTGAGACAGTTGCAAGGACTGTAATCAGGAGATCGAGGCAGGGGGCGCTCACCCTCAGGAGCGCAGATTCTCAGTGACCTCAGCAAGAGGCCACGCTTGGTGTTCCCAAGCCGGGTGGCAGGGGGCGCCCAGAGACCTCCTAAAGGGAACATCGGCCGTGTGGGCTGGGCAGGTCGTGCCCCGGGCCTCACCTGGTCTGGGTGAAGACGTAGAGGACGGAAGGGCCCCAGGCCAGCTGCCCTGACTCGCTCCCTCCTCACATGCTGGCAGAGCCCCGACGCTCACCCCTCTCTCTGCCCAGTTAGCGCAGGAGGGAGGCAGGCAGGGAGGCCTCTGTCAGCTTGTCCACCAAGACCCGTTTTGTGCAACCAGAGTTTCTCCTCACCCCACGCAGGTGGGACCTTCAGAGGCCTCCAATGCATCCACAGGGAGGGTCCTGTGCAGGGCAGGGGCTGGGGGAGCAGGTAAGGGGACCCGCCGCCGCGGCAGGGGTAGTCAACCAGGCTTCACAGCAGAATCACCTGGGAGATTTCACAAACACCAGCCTGGGCCCCATTCCAGACCCACTGCATTAGAATCCCACCTTCGGAGACTCGGGGCTGGGAATCCCCGTTGTGTAAGACCTCTGCAGGTGGTCCTGATGTGCAGCCAGGGTTAAGAACCTCTGCTTTACACAGTGGCTCTCAGAGTCTGGCCCTGGACCTGCTCAGCACTGCTGGTAACGTGACAGAAACACAGAGTCCCAGGCCCACCCTGGGCTCTTGACTCAGTGGTCTGAAGGGTGCAGCCCAGGACCCTGCAGTCTAACATGTCCCCTAGGTGATTCTGGCACTGCCCAGGTTGAGAACCTCCCTGTGTCTCGATACCCTACGTGTGCTCTGGGGGCCAGCAGCCCAGGCATCTCCTGGGAGCTCATTACGAATGCAGAGTCCCAGGCTCCCCCCAACCTGCTGAATCAGAACCTGCATTTCAACAGGCTCTAGGGACCCCACTGAACAAGAACAATACAAGGCTGTGTGTGCAGACTCAGCCGGCGCATTCCGGGAAGGCTGTTGGGGGAGGGGGCATAGGGGTCCCCTCTAGGGGGCAGAGGAGTGGACCTCCAGGTGGGGGCCTTTAGGTGGGGTTCTCTGGCTTGACATTAATGGAGCCATTCACAGTGGTAAAGGGGCACCGGCCCACTTAGTGGAAATCCGGTGAGGACTGTGGGGTTGATTGGCAGCTTCTAGATGAGCTGGGGAATTTGGGGAAAGAAAACGATTGAGCTCAGAGTTTAAAATTCCCAGCCCAGGGGGCAGATAAGGAGCCGGAAACTTCTATGCTGTGCAGGAAAGGGCCGAGCAGCAGGCCCGCCTGCCAGGTGGCCTTCGGCTGGCATCCGGGAACTCGGACTCCAGAGGGTCCCCGGCCCCTCCCCACGCCCCCGCAGGAGCCTGGAATCTGCCCCAGGCAGGGGTGCCCTGAGCAGCCCCAGTAACGCTGGGCGCTGTGTCTCTAACGGGCTTTCCCAGTCCTCATGTGTGTCGTCATGACTGGTGGCAGGGAATTAGCGTGTCCCGTGTGGCTCCCCAGGGAGGGGGCTCTGGGAGCTCCCTCTCCGTCCCCGGCTTCTCCCCTGAGCCTCTCCCCTCACATGCGCTTCGCTCCGTTTCTGTCATGAATCCCAGCTGTACGTCCTGGGAGTCCTCCTGGTGAGCCTGGGGGGTCTTGGAGACCGACACAACTGCCTTAAGAGAATTCATTATTCCTGTTAGGCACAGGATCCAGACTTCTGAAAATAAAGCCCAAAGCTCAGTCTAGCAGGGGGCAGCACCCCAAGGCTGACAACTTCAGCTGAACTGAAGCTGGGGACCCAAACCCCTAAATTCTGCTAAGCCTCCTTTGCCAAGAGAAGCCGTCCTTCCTCCTGGTCTGGGGGGTTCATCCACCCTCGCCTGAGGACAGTCCGGTGTCCTCCGCGGTACCCGTCTGGCGAGGGGCTGCTGGCTCCTTCGGGACCAAGAACACCGTGCCTCCGCTCCCACACCTATGACCTGACCCTGAAGTTTAGGTGTGACCCCAGGAGGCACCACATGTGTTCATTTGTGTCAGCAGAAGCACAGGGAGCAGACACGGGGTGGCCTGAGGTACAGGTGATGTAATTCTGGATTGGCCCGAAGGATTGGCCTGGGCCACTCAGCAGAGATCCTGGGCTCACTGGGCGACAGGGAGTGGCCTCACCTGTTTGCGTGAAAGCTGCCGACACAGAAGGAGGCTGAGGGCCAGAACGTGTCCCTGGAAGGATCAGGTGCCCAGAAGTTCGGGGCGCCCGGGGTGTGTGCTGGATGGATCTGTCCCCTGAGAGCTGTGTACCGCGGCCGTGAGGAGCATGTGGATGAGGTCCCTGCAGCCTTAACGCTCCCTGTGGTGACCACACTAACCCTGGGGACTGCTGCCCTGGACGTGGCCCTGGGTTCATGAGTGGCGGGACCCCTCGGGGCAGGGCCATGGGGCGTGGCTCCTGTCATGGGCGTAATCAGAGCGGCCTGACGCACAGAGACCCTTGGTGTCTCCGGTGGTGTCCTGGGGACGTGGAAGAGCTGCCTTGCCTACAACAGACAGACTCGCTCACTGTGCTGTAAGCAGGAAGGCTCCGATCTGAGATGCAGTCGGGCTGAACACCCACACTTCCTGCCTACGACTGCTCAGCCGAGTCGTTGGCCGGGGCACTTTCGGGGGCTGCCAGGAGCTCCCCGAGGTCCCGTCCCACCTGTCTGGCCCAGGGCAGCTCTGTGATTGCCCGGTCCCTGTGAGGGGGTCTCAGCCTCAATATCAGACTTAGACTGTTTTTCTCTCCTGGGGCAGAGGAAACGGGTTTATTTCGAGTCCTAGTGTTGAACTCAGTCTTACAAATCTTAGAAGTGGCCTGAGAAAGATGTTTGTCTCCCAATTTGATCTTTGGATCAGATTCCCAAACGTGGACTCGTGCAGTTCCGCTCTGGCGGGGGATGAAATGCTGTTTGATGGTTCCCGTAGGTGACGTCTGTCCTTGTCCTGGCGTTTATAAAGGGGATCCTGTGTGCTGGCAGCAGATGCCCATCGGGCTGTGAGGCTGAGGCTGAGACGGGAGCAGAGCAGGGTGGCGAGGTAACCTCGGGGAGGGCAGCAGATGGGGGTGCGTTTTCTTAAATTGTTGAAATTAAATACAGCCAGAGCAACGCAGGGTTTAGCCTCAGAATAATACTTGGAAGCCACTGAAATTGAAACCGCTATGAAAACACTATGAGCTTGTCTTTGCACCAGAGCTGTTTTCCCAGGAGTTGTCCACTTTGCGGGTGGCGGGAAGAAGGTGGCGCCCTGATGGGTGGGTGGTCTCACCCTCGGGGTTCCTCCCGCTGCAGGTGGACCTGAGCCAGTCAGCGGTCAGTGGGGATGTGCCTGAGGAAGATGAAGACCTGCGTGCTGCCCGGGGTGACCCTCTGCCTGCTGCTGGTGCCCCTGGCGGGTGAGCGGCTCCCCGTCCTCCTGCCCGCTCCCCTCTGCTCGTCGCCCCCGTGCCACCGGGGCTGCGGACGTGTGGAGAGGCCGTCCTGGGGTTCTCCTGGGTGACTGCTCTCCTCTTCCTTTGCAGGGGCCAAGCCTGTGCAGGACGAGGGAGGTATGGCATCTTCCTCCCATTTCTTGTCTTGTCTCGTGGGGGGTGGAGGACGGCAAGGGGCTGGGTGGGAGCAGATGCAGGGGACCCCTGGGTCAGTTCCAGGCCCAGCTGTGCGGGCAGAGCGGCTGGAGCCTCTTTCCCAGGCCCGGCCCTCCCGGCCTCGGGGGACACAGGCAGGAGGGAGCCAGGGCTCTGCATGGTGCTGGGACCCTCCGAGCCCCTGAGGACACTGCCACTCCCACCCTCAGACCCAGAGTCCTAGCTCGGTGTAGTAACATATGGGCTCCAGGGCGGGGGGCGGGGGGGTGGTATTCTTGGAAACCCCACTAGGACGCCCCCACGTCCCCACCACAGCATTCCCTCCCTGCTCAGTGTCTCCGGGACAGAGGCCAGACTTCCTGCACCTGCTCCTCTCCCCCCTTTGTCCCCTACTCCAAGGGTCCGAGGGGCAGGGCCTGCGTCATCCCCCATCAGCTCCTCTGATGGCCAGGCTCTAGGGTGCTTCCTGGGAGGACGCGGGACGACCCAGGCTGCACTCCCAGCTGAGAGGGTCCCTCACTGCACTGGCTCTGCTGAGCACCTCCACCTGCCTGAGGCCTCCGTGGGGGTGGCCGGGGGGCAGGACGAGTGGCACAGCCCTGAGGCCGGCCGTCGTGTCTTTCAGACCCCTATGCTGAGCTGCCGGCCATGCCCTACTGGCCCTTCTCCACCTCTGACTTCTGGAACTACGTGCAGTACTTCCAGACGCTGGGGGCCTACCCCCAGATCGAGGAACTGGCCCGCACCTTCTTCGCTCACTTCCCCCTGGGGACCACCCTGGGCTTCCACGTCCCGTATCAGGATGACTGAGAGGTGCCCAGCCTGGTGCCCTCGGGCAGGCAGGGATTCTGCGGGGACATGGGCCTGGCCTCAGTTCAATAAACTCCTGACTTAAAATGCACAGCACACGCTGGTGGTTTTCTTTCAAGAGACAGGTCTACCCAGGACTCATTTTCCTCCTCATTCGACACGGGAACCTGCTCCTTTGGCCATTAGCGAGCGCTTCTTTGGTAAGCGTGGGCAGCTTCTGTCTACAGAAGATGCAGCAGCTGTGGCTCAGGACCTGCTGCCCTGTGTCACTGTCTTCTCATCCTCACCATGACCCTAGGAGCGGTGCTGCAGGGCCCCTGGGGTGCAGGTGGGGGAACTGAGGCAGAGACACCAGGTAACTGGCTGAGTTGTTGACGGAACCCAGGTCCCATCCAGGCAGCTTCACCCCAGAGCCCCTGCCCTTAGCCACCAAGCTAGGCAGCAGCCAGACCTGCCGCGGCCATGCCGGGCTGGAGGCCCTGCCTGGGCAGGCACCCCTCACACTCAGCACCCTCCTGAGGGCAGTTTGCACCAGGCAGCAGGGGCTGCATCTGTGAGGAAGGGTCAGGGGCCTGGACACACGCAGTCTGCCTGCCGTGTGCTCTTCGGAGCGGGAGGTAGGGTGGGCAGGGAGCGTGGACGGCGTCTCAGGGACCAGACTCCCCTGTGGGAGCACCTGCAGTCAGGTGGCGAGCCCTCACAGGCAAGCGTGCCGGCCGGAGGCCCTGGGGGGCACACCCCGTCAGACGGAGAAACCTAATGGGCTGCAATCAGATTTTCTGTTCAAATAAAATAATAGAAAGTATGGTGTATTTAACTATAGATACTGGTATTTGTACTAGCGTCAAACTGTAGAAACTGTCACACATAATAAGAAGTATGTAGGGCTTTGTGAAACTTGTGTGTTACACTTTCTCTCCGGGAGGAAGTGGGTGATGGAGCTGGGTCTAGTCCTGTGTGCCGTCCGGGAGGTTTGGTAGGCAGTCCTTTAAGATAAGTGAGGCCATTTCGGCTGCTCAGAGCAAGACTGAAGTTATCTCAAGCAGTAGGGGACGTACCTGCGAGGACTCTCAAAGCAACAATAGGGGGGGGTTCTTCCTGGGACGCAGGCACAGACCGCAGCAGGGCTCTGAGGGCCCTGGAAAGGGGGAGGTGGCTGCAGTGCCCAGAGCAGCAGGCCTGGGTGCCGCCTGTGGCCACCCCACTTGCCCCAGCCAACCACAGGCTGCCTGCACTCTCACCTCCACCTCGTCATCTCCTGTGGGTTCTCTCCCTGTGCCCCCGGTTAAATTCTCAAGAAGAAGACCGTTGATCTAGCCAATCGTTTTGGGGAAGTCCATACATTCTTTGTCTCTTTCTTTCCTTCCCTTGAGCTAGTTTGAATTTGGTTTCTGTAAATTAGCTGCATTTTTTGAAAAAAAATTCCTGATTCGTGTAACAGCTGGACATGAGGATTGCTCGTGAGTTCCTACTGGAGACAATTGGTTCTCAACCAAACAAATCAGAGAAAAGGCGCTCTTGACAGCAGGATTTCCCTGGTATTGATATGTGTGTGTGTGTGTGTGTGTGTGTGTGTGTGTG